CCAGCTCACCCATAGACCCATGGAAAAAAAAACGAACAACTGTTATTTTTCTCATGATTCTGAGGGGTAAAGGATGGGAAGGTTGCACTGTAATCATTCATACAAAGGTGCTACTATTTGTGTAATGTCTTGGAAAAGAATATATACTTTTTTGCATATGCAAATTTTCTTTGTAAGGATGCACCTGAAACTGAAAACACTTGCTTTAGGAGATAGGGGCTATGGTGGCTGTGGGAAGGTGGGAGGGAGACCTTGTTGTATCTTTTGAATCTGAAGCATGTGAACATATTTTCAGTAATGAATGAATTAATGAAATCTGTTCATTTTACTGAAGTCTTTCCAGAATCATCTTCAGGAGAGAGCAGGAACTCATACTCTATAGGTGAAATTATAAATGGGTACTCTCAAGATAGACTGGAAACACGAATTTAAGTAGTGCCTATAGAAATATGTAAATGCATATTGAATGCAGAGACTACTTCTGGAAGAACCTGCCATAGCTGATAACACAGGCTGCTTGTGAGAAACAATCTGATGAGACTGGGGGTAAAGGACAAGCCTAAATGCCTTTTTTACTATTTTAATTTTTTACACTCAACTTGTCTTACCTTCCTAAAAGGAAAACAGTGAATAAAATGTATACCTTTTGGCCCAGCAGTTTATCACTTCTAAGAATCCTGCAGAAATACTTACAGAAGCAGACAAAGATAAATATGTAGCAACATATACCTGTATAAACTAAAATTATACGGAATCTAAATGGCCATCAAATGAGGATTAAATTATGGAATATTCACAGAAGGGAATACTATACAGTTGCTAAAAATAAATTCATAAATCACATAGCTTGACATAGAACATTCCAGAATTCTTGAAGAACCCACCATATAGAGTCACTCTGTAATAATGATCACAAACTGAATAAACCCACCACTGAGATTATACAAAATATTCCAGAATTCTTTAAGCAACCTCTAATGCTCACTTCCAGGCATTCACTGTCAAGAAATTATCATAAACCAAAAATCCCATGTAGCCAAGTGTAGTGGGGGATGCCTGTAATCCCAGCACTTGGGATCTGAGGCAGGAGGATCGCTGTGAGTTTGAAAACAGCCTGGGCTACATAGTGAGTTCCAGGTCAACCTGAACTGTATAGTGAGACCTGTCTCAAAACAAAAACAAAAATAAAAACAAAAACAAAACCCAACAACAAACAAATAAACATGTAACCATAATCCAGGTCTACATAGAACATTTCAAAATGGAGGCACTCCCTAATGTGCACTTTCAGCCATTTGCTTAAGAGTACATAATAAACACATATGTACGTTATATAACCATCATACAAGTCACACAGACCTTTCCATTTAACATCCATTTTGTGAAAATTCAAGTTGTACACTTTTTTTGGTACCGGAGATCGAACTTGGGTCTTTGTGCTTGCGAGGCATGCAGCGGAACCACTGAGCTAAATCCCTGGCCCAAGTTGTACACTTTTTTTTTGGAGACAGGGTCTTGTTTTATAGTTAGGCTGGCTTGGAGCTGCCTATGTAGCCCAGGCTGACTTCAAACTGAGGTATGATCCTCATACCTCAGCTTCCTGAATGCTGTGATTACAGGCGTGTCACCATGCCTAGCTCTCCAAACTACATTTTTTTTAGTATGTTATACTTCAAAAAACATTTTAGGGGACTGGGAGCATAGCTCAGTGGTAGAGGGCATGCTTAGTACACATAGGCCCTGGATTCCATTCCTAGCACCACACAAAGTTCTAACATGTACATATGCATCTATTAAAAGTATGTTTGTATATGTATAGAAGAAAGTAATAAGGGTCACAAATCAAACTTTTCTTGTTATGGATAAGCACATGTAGGGAGAGGTCTTTTTCACTTTGAATACTTCTATAAGATTGGAATTTTTTTATTATGAAGATTGTTTCTTCTTAAAAGTAAGATAAGGAAGAAACAATAAAACAGTAAAGCTCTGGTCTGGGAGTTTTATCTCTGAGAAAATATACACGCTCACGATTACAAATCCTAGAATTCCTGACCTTAAGCCACAGGTCCTGGAGGGAGATAAAAACCCAGAGGAGTTAGACTAAAAAATTTCTTTTAGCCACAGCAGAAGGCCTCAGGGAGTCAGACTGGAAACTTCTTTCTTTGAAGGATACATTCTGACTTTAATTCTCTTTTGGTCAGAGATAAGTAAGCAAACCAGATCTAAAAGGGTTTTAAGGCCCCTTTCCCTGTGGGAAAAACAAGGGGGTGATCTTCTCAGAAATAAAGATACTAGACCTCTCTTATCACACTTCACAGAAGAAAGAGAACCTCAGAAAGAGAATCCAAAGAGGAACTCAGAGTATTCCACACAGATTGAAGTTTTTAACTTCTTTACAACAGTTCCACACACTAATGTAACCCAATGTTTTCTTGGATTGTTGTTCTCATATGTATTTAACTTCTATATGGCCATATGTAAATGTCACTCATTATTTAATATGTTTCTTTAAATTAACTTTTTCTATTTTTAAAATTTAAAATTATACTTAAGTGTTGTTTGCTGAATTTCAGTAGAGAACTTCGAATCACTTTTATAAATGGAAGCCATTCTTTCATGCCTCAGATAGAGGGCAAATATTAGGTATAATAACTATTACTGAGAGGGGACTCCTTGATTAAGATTCCTCATGCGTTTTCCTCAGTAGTGACTGGAAGACAAAGCTCAATGCTCCTCCTAGAGGTGAATGTGAGGTTACAAACGTTTATGGAAGACACTAGCACAAACCCTAGACATTGTGTTGGAATCAGAGGTACTAGTTTAAGCTCATGGTTTCTGACAGAGATATATACGTGTACACATACACCTACAAGGTGTACATACACTCACACACACAAGTGCTTCCTGTGTCACAAAGCTGCCCAGTAGCAAGACCGCAACTTGTACTTGTGCCTTGGTTTTTAAATCCCCTTCTCTAGTAAAAGAAATCATAGATCCCTAAGAGAAATCACTGATTCCAAGGCTAGGGCAAGAAAAGTATAAAGGTGGGATGTCGTGTCAGAAAGTACAAAGCTGCCCAAAAAACAATAGGCCACAGAATGAGCATAGAGGGGATGTGAGACAAATTGAATACCAAAATAATTATGGTAATGAATTAAAACCTACCAATGGAAATAGACTTCCAAGAGTCCATACAGATGGTGGAGAAAGTTCTGTACAATAGGTTACCAACTAGTATGTTGAAGAAGTGATAGAATTACATAGAGCCACTATTAGGTAGTCATCATAATACCACTGGGGGGAAAAATTCAATGGATACTAAAACTTCTGGGTGAAAGATGAGGAAATAGAATATTTATGTTGTGCTCTCTCAAAAGTATCTCCACACAAAATATTTTATTAATTCCTATGGCAAAACATGGTAGACACGAAGGATCAAAGTAACCAGCACTTTCTGGGATAAAGAAACATCATGTGTACCATGAAATGATAAATTGAGAACACAGCATCACTTCTGTGTATCTGTCCCAAATGCATAACCTCAATTTCCTCATGAGGAAACAAAACTCCAATTCAGGAACGTGTTATAACTGACTGGTACTTTTCAGAAGTGTGAGGATCACAAAAGTAAAGACAGGGAATTCCAGATTGGGGGAGACTAAACACATAATTACACAGAACCTGGGCTAACTCCTGAACAAAAAATGTTTTGTTTGCTAATATAAGCAGTACCTGGATCATAGTCAAATTGGAATGGGTCTGTAGATTTGATAGTACTTTTATATCAACATTAATTTCTTGATTTTGATAGCTGTAGTTAATGAGAATGTTCTTGTCTTTTAAGAAATTGATATTACTTGGAAACAGCCCATTTGCCCATCAGATGGAGACTGGATAAAGAAGATGTGGTTTTTCTATAAAGTGGAATACTACTCAGCCATAAAGAATGAGAAATTAGATTCATTCATTGGAAAATGGATACATATTGAGGATATACTCCTAAGTGAAATAAATAAGTCACACGTGTAAATACCGAGTAATTTCTCTGGTGTGAATAAACCGTAATAGTACATAAGATCCTAATGATATAATTGACAACATGAAATAGGAAGAAAAGGGCTAAAGGTGTAGGGAAAGCAGGAAGGGTAGGGGGAAGGTAATATGGGGAAAAATATGAGAAAATAAAAAAATGGAAATGAAGTGTTTGTAAATGGGGAGGGGAGGAGGGGATGAAGGGAGAGCAGGGGTAAGGGGAAAAAATGAGAACCAAGACCTGTCATGTAAAGGTACAGGATCCCAATGATGAATGTAACTGTACTGTATACCTAAAATGTACCAATAAACTCAGTGAGAGAAAAAAATTGATATTGAAGCATTTAAGGGTAGTGGAGTATTGCGTCTGCAACTTATTACAACATGGCTCAAAACTTACTCTCAGATGGTACACACACACACAAAAAGAATGAAGCAAATGTGGCTAAATGATAACAATTAGGAAACGTGGGTGAAGGATACTGAAAGTTCTTTACGCTACTTTTACAATGATTTTTTAAATATAAAATTAACATAAAGTTGTCCTTTAAAAAAAGCTAAAAATAAAACGGAGCATTTATAACCTGAGGCATATATAAAAAGCTTTATTTTTGCATGTTTAACCACACCCACACCTTGTTCTAAAAATAATTTATAGAGGCTTATAAATATGCAAAAATATAATAAATCAAATTGAAAATATTTGTGACCCTAGCAAAAATCTTCTAAATTGTCAGATTCTTCAAAGTACTGTCGAAAATTGACAGATTATGTGGAGCGATTTCTCTTTGGGGAAATAGCTCAGACTTCATCGCATTAGTTATTTTGTGCTCCTGATATCCTTTTATGTAACACTTGACCTGCCCTTAGAGAGAATGAACTTTGGAGGCAGAAAATGATAACCAATAAGAATTAGATAAAAAGAATTAAAGAGATAGACTTTAAAATATTGTATTTTATGCACGTATACACTTTATTAACTTTGCATTCTAAGATATACACAAAGCCAGCATTTCACAAAACTTTGTTATTCCAAAAGCTATTATGAAACATAGTGATTACATATCAAGCCAAAACACTATCTGTAGTATTTCCCTAAGGTATTATTTCTCATATCTGTTTTCAAATAGAAACACGAAATATGATATTAGAATAAGAAAAGAGAATTTTACTTTATAACAATAACCACTTTTTAAATATTAAGACTTTATATAAAAATAAAGGGGTACTGTCAACAAAGCTCATCTGTGGGCTAGCATATCTCTTACTTCAGGACAATCTTTGCACAAACTTAACTTTCTAGTCCATTTACTTATATATTCATTTATTTTGGTACTGGAGACTGAACCAGGGCCTCCCACAAGATAGGCAAGTGCTTTATCACACTGCTACTCCCCCAGCCCCTTGGGACACTGACTTGCTAAGTTGCCCAACTAGTCTTGAACTTGTTGTGATCCTCCTGCCTTAGCCTCCTGAGTATCTGGGATTGTAGGTGTATAACACCACGTCCAGCTACTAGTCCATTTGAACAATAAAAAACAAAAATGAACCTCGTTTTAAACAAAGTGAATTATCCTGCCTCCTGGTATGTAAGATCACTGAAATTAATTTCTCACCCAAGTTCTACCCCACCACTGAACTTGAAAAATAAATTGAAAGAAAATCACATTTCAAAGGTTATCTGTTAATAGTCCTAAATTGGAATCTACAAGTGTCCCTTTAAGGCAAATAAGATAGTAGAGTGAACGTAGACAAATCTCCTGAAAGACAAAACCATCTATTATTACAGGGACAAAAACACCTTAGCACGGTCCTTTTACAAATAGAATAGATACACTACATTTTTTCTTTAAAATAGCACACGAGCGGGCAAGTTTCATAACAGATACATTTATATTAAACTTGACCAATTATGCACTTTGAACAGGCAAAAGCAACCCGAGAACTAAAGTTAGCGAGGGCTGTTATGGTGCCCATTACAATTTAAAACAAAGAACATGTCTGGTTCCATGACAGAACTACTGTACTGCAAGCCAAGTGATGTACTCTAATAGTTGAAAGAGAAGGGGTTTCCCTTCAAACCATTCACTAGAACTAGTCTCTCTAAGTGCCTTCAAAGCACATGGTTTTTCTTTAAAGTTGAAGGATCTTTGCCTTCAAAAGACACAAGTGCAGTAGTTTTTGTTCCTTATGTTCACTTAAAACTGGATTATTATGATCTTAGTGTGTAAATGTGCACATTAAATACAGATATTCCTCCACAATATCCAAATATTGAAAGAAACTTATGAGAACAGACATTTATATAGTCAAATAAATAGTACAGCACGTAACATTAGATTATACTCAAGATTTCTTAAAGGATTCATTCTGGAGATTCTTCTTGGAAAAATTAAATAACATTTGGTATCTCACACTTACTAGCATATATGCTGTTTACGGCTTAAACAGCTTGTTTAGAGCAGAATGCACACTAACACTGACTTTTCAACTCCTAAAAGCTTCCTTGTAGATAATAAACTGCCAAATTGTAACACAGCATGAATAAGAACTGGATTACCACTCTGACAGCAACACAATAACCAGAACACCAATCACCACACAATAAAACAAACAAATCCAATGACAAAAAGGAATCAGAAAAAAAAAGCAGCAACCAAAACAGTATGTGGCAATCACACACATAAAGCCTCCTTTTCCATGCAACCTTACGATATAAATCCCTTCAAGCATGACAATATACCAAGGCACCTAAGGCCCCATGATACCACCAGAAACACTGACAGCTCCGTAGACGCCTGCTTTTGTACACAGTGGTTTTGTGTAAAGAACATTATTCATTCATTTGTAGATGCTCCACACATCTGGTCAAGGCAGGAATTTCTTCTCCTTGATAACACCACCTAGAAATATCAACAATATTTTATATATTCCTTAGGGCAAAGGTCTGGGGAGAAAAATATCATCTGTGGTATTAAAGTCCTAAGGAACTGCAATGATTAATCCTGTAAGTTCAATTATATTCTCAATACTAAATCAATGATCATTTCGTACACTACAATAGCAAAAAAGCAGTAAGGGTAGTGATGGAAGCAGCTACGTTTCTTCCCCTCTGTGAGGAATGGCAAGGAAGCAGCTCAAACATGAAAGGGAAACAAAATATTGTACTTTAAGGCAATGCAGAAAATTAAAAATTTAATATAATTAAAGGCAATATATCACTACGAAATAAAGAGATTAGAAAGTATGTAGTCATACATACATGGGGAACAAAAAAATCTCTCAAGCAAGAGAATTTCTGATCAACTCTGTTGCATCACTGCTAGGGGGGGAAGAACAATTATAGAAAATACTCATCAGTGACTCTTTAACATACAGATTTGAAAATAGGTGCTCACTGAGGTATTAGGACAAAAAAATATTCTCTACGTAATAAAAAATTACGTATTTGAGATTTAGTCACTAGATGCAAAATGAGATAAGCAAAAGCAGACATTAGTAACCTCACAAAATTGAATTCTGGAGGAAAGAGATGCCCAAAAAGAACACCATCAAAATGGCTGAAATCAGTCAAACTTTAATCCTCATTAGGGATCAAAGTTCTCTGCTTTCCTCACAGAATGTTTTATCAATGGGAAACAGCAGTTAGAACAATCAGAAATGGATAAGTCACTTGTGTGAGAGATCATCCAAGATGAACGAAGAGCATGAATTGGAGCATGCTACTGGAGATTCTGGGGGAGCGGTGCCTGTAGCCACTGAGTCTGAGGATAAGCCACTGCTGCTACTACTGCCATCCAAAATATCCGGACTGAGGACAAAGCAAAAAGAATTATGAGCGAATGCATCTATCAGGGTAAACATAACACGCAATGACACAGTTTCAAGGACTCACACACTGGTAGAGCATCTTAAATAATAAAAAGCACAAAAGCAATAGCAATGAACTATGTAATGTATTATATGGAGATATCCATGAAATTATGAAATGCCAAAAACTGAAGGACAAAGTCTTGTATCATCTGCCTCCCACCCCAAGATGTAATGATGTGTAACACACAATAAGTATTCCTCCTGATGTACCATGGTTTTGATGAGGTTCCCTGACCTGCTCACGAGACTTCTGTCCTTATCCATCTTCTTACCATCAGGTTTGAAAGTAAGAGGAATGGTTATCTACGGAGGCACCCATTCTCGGACTCGTTGAAGGCTGCCACCAAACATACTGCTTCCCAATTCCTCCACTCTAAAATCAAGTCTTTCAATCACCCTAGAGTTGACCACTCGCACACTTCAAATCAAATGCATTTTTTATTCTGATTTTTCCCTCTAGTCATGTATCTTTCACAGTCTTCTCTTTTTATGAATTCCTGATGTTGTTTCCTTTCTTACTGCTTTTAAACCACAAAGTGTACCCTATCTCTAAGATTCCTTTTCTTTGATCTCTCACTTTATTCTCCAGGTAAGCTTCTAAAATGCACTCTCTAGGAATGGTCCCAATAGCCTCATGCCCACTGTCACTTTAAGCCCAGTAAATGACCTCTGTTCAGATCCTTCCACTCAAACTGCTGTGGAAACCAAGTGCCTCTACACTCTAGGGAGAACTTCCCCAATTCAGCCTAGGTGCTGACTGCAGGGACAAAGCTGCCCGCCTCTAAATTTGGCTTTCTACTTCAGCATGGAACCAAGAGCCTTCACAATTTGGCATCAAGCTGCCTTTCTGGCTTTGATCCCCACTGATCCAATACATAAATAGGATGCTCTATTTGCCCTGAATTCACTTCTTCATTTATCCTAATATTTACTGACTGTTCACTAGTGCAGAAAGTATGCTAGATACTAGAGGGACAATGGTGAGAAAGACAGACATGGTATCTGCTCTCACTGATTTTACAGAACAGTAGAGGACACAGACATTTAAATAATCATGCTAATAACTATAATTTATGATAAAAGTAATAAAGGAAAGATACAAGGGGGTTTGAGTATACTATTTCCATTTTTATTTTTGCTTTTCCCACTCCTATTTGTAATACGTTTCCATCTAAAATTTCCACAAGCAATAGAAATAAATGCCACTTTCCTTTCTTTTTTCAATGGTGAGGATTGAACCTAGGGCCTTCATTATGCTAGACAAGCATTCTACTACTTAGCTATATACCCCCAGGTCCCAAGTGGCATTTATTTTTATTGCTTGTTGAATTTTAGATGGAAACAGACTACAAATAGGAGTTGGAAAAGCAAAAATAAAATTGGAAATAGCACACTCCACACTACTACATTATGCTCATTGCTGTCAAATGCATCATTAATAATATGACTTTTAAGTAAGAAGTTTGGAAAATTTAGCTGTCTCTAATATTTGTTCAAGCAAGTGGCAAAATAGGTTTAAAATATGAATTATTCAAACTACTGAAAGAGAGTTGCACAGATAATCCAAGACGCTGGAAAATCAAAAGACTTCTCTATTTGCCTTTGGAACATATGTGATTTTTCCTCCTGCAGCTTTTTGCCTAAACTAATAGTAAAACGAATTTACTTTCTTAAAGCACATATTGGCTGGGCAGCTGAAGGACATACTCTATGCTAGTTGGCAGGAAGAAACAGGCTTAGATTAAAATTTGGCCACTGTACAGATAATCGGAATATAAATAAAGAATTCTTTATTCCAACTACCAGACTTATGGTGAGCCCTGGGTTAAAAGATTCCATTTGGATTAAGATCTGCTTTCTTGGGTGAATCTTGAGTTCATTCAAAAACATAAAATATGGATTGTGCAGTGAAATTTTTCTTCTAACACTGTTGACCACCTTGAAAGAAATAAACTAAAGAAGATATTACCAAAAATTACTTAAAAACACCTGAACAATTTATTTCAGAATTTCCTCTCAATATAATAGTTATTGTTAACAAAAAAATAGCATACTTACATTTAGTCTCTACTGCAATTTAGATGCAGGACTTGGTAAAAGTTTTATCTAGACATTTTACTAAACTAAAATCTAGCTTCTGTTCTAATAAATCTGGCATGACTACATATCGGCTTGGAATCAGAAACTACAGATCACAAATCATCCAGTTTTGTTTGTTTTGTTTTGTGTTGTTTTTTGTATCGGTGATTGAACTCGGGTCCTTGCGCTTGCAAGGCAGGCCACCGAACCGCTGAGCTAAATCCCAGGCACAAATCATCCAGTTTTATCCACATAAAGTAAAATGTAATTCTTTATTCTACACAGAGATGACTATACAAAGTAATTTTCATACTGACTACTATTAAATCTTATGACAGAGCTTCTAACAGCAACAAAATCTTGTTCTGATTTGAATTCCTCTCTTCTTCGTTTTCTTGCTTAAGGTCTGTTGAAGATGCTAATGAGCTTTACTTCCACTAATGGCTGACAACTGTAGAAAATCAAAGGACTGAGACAATGCACATTGGACATGGGAGTACCTGAATCAAAAGGGAACTAATTCATTCCAGCCAATGAACAGACATGTTGAAGCAACACCAGAACCAAAGAATGGAAAATGCCATGACTGGGCAAGAAGTACCCTTGTCTAGAAAAACTAAAAGGGTGAAAGCACAGTATAAGCCAATCATTAAAATATTCTAAGGGCAAAACTAGGATGTCCAGTGTGACTCATGCCGTCACCCATGTGCCTGAGCCACTGTGTACCTCGTCTGATCAATAAGCTGGGTTCTCTCAGATTAATGGCAGGCTGGCGATGTACCAGAAACTAGCCACAGGCATCCTCATGCCCTCTGTTAGTAGCTGAACTGGTATGTATGACTTCTGTCTCTACTCTCTTGCCTTAGGAAGGCCCAGCATTATCATTCCAAATAACCTCCAAGTTTTTAAACTCACGTATTTCAATCTGACCATTACCAGTTATCTTGTCGACAGGTGTTTAATTGTATTAACACAGATGTTTAAGCTGCCCATATAGACATCTCTACAGTATCATGTATGTATATGTTCCTATTAATTAAACAAATCATGATGAAAACTTATTTGTGTACCTGTCATATATTTATGATGATGGGATTTAGCCATGACACATATGGCATTAAAAATGTTAGTACTCACTGCCTGCCTTGCAAAGGCAAGGGCCCGAGTTCTTCCCTGGTACCAAGAAAAAAAACAAAACAAAACAAAAAAAAACTTAGTATTCCTGAACCACTAAGACGAATCCAATTCAAAATGTAAAAATATACAGCCATGCTGGGTGTGGGGGTGCATGCCTGTAATCCCAGCACTTGGGAGACAAGCAGGAAGAGCACCATCAGTTCAAGGCCAGCCTGAGCTACACAGTGAGACACTGTTTTTAAAAAAAAAGTAAAATTAAAACATCATGTTAACATTGATGCACTGGTGTACTGGGCAAGGAAATTCACAGATCAATCTTTCCTTTAGTGTAGGAAAATAAATTATTATTATTACTAAATAATATTCACTGCAGAACCAGGGGTCCTGAAGACCCCTTTATTTGATACAGCATGCTGCAGGTCCATACAATCCTACTCCCAACAGAATGAGGAGCAGAATAAGAGTTTCCGATGTGCAAAAAGAACCCCAGTACCACAGAGGCGTGCTTCTTAAAGGTGTCCTTCAACTCTAGATGTTCCCAAGAACTAAATACAGAATGACCTAATTCCTGCACTGTGGTTGGCAATGTTCCCCACATTTGGCTGGCAATGATTTCAGAATTTTTATTTAGTAAAAACTATAAAAGTATGCTTCACTGGACAAACTCCAAATAGGTCTATCCTCAAATTTTAAATTTAATTTATACTTCAAAGATGCCAGATTTTAAAGAATATTATTACCTAGTACATAAATTTAGAGGCTGTAAAACCTATGTACTCCATTTCTGTGCAGGGTGGGACAGGGAACAAACCATAAAGATTAAAACGATGAGATAACTGCTAATGATCTGATCCTTTATCTGCTCTCTAAAAGGTAGTATAAAACTGTTTCCTGATCAAGTAGACTGCCATTCGTGGTAATGGAAACCAGAATGCAGCTGGTTCCTATCTCTGTCCCCATATATGGATGTCTGATTCTGGTCAGTGAAATTGCACATAAGAGAAGAAATTTTCTGCAAAAGCAGGATCCAGGTTCTACATAAAGAGAAAAATTCATATTCAAAATTTCTTCATTACAGGCATAAATGTCAGTATCATTAGTATATAAGGGGTCCTAAAAGTCTTAGCACAATTATAAGCTTTAAAGACCTCTCGGAAGCACAGATGCTACAAAGAGACCGAAAGCATTAGTTGAAAGTTTGCTTAATTACTTAACCTTTTCTTGAGGTGGAATTTTGCTATATTGCCCAAGCTAGTCTTGAACTTGATGGCTATAGCAATGTTCCTGCCTCCACCTCATGAGCATCTGGGACTACAAGCACAGGCTGTCACATCTGACTAGTTCCTAAATATCTTCAATACTTAGATTCTTTGAATTTTGAGGAATACATTTCTTTATCACATTACTTGAGCCATACGTTGGCATTCTGTGAGTGCTTGTGAATAAAGCAAAGCTCTCCTGTGGTAGGCAACATCCTTGTTTAAGGCCAAAGTTTCCTTCATCACTAATATCAATGTTACCAGTTCTTGCAACCGCCATTCAGAGAAACAAGTCTTACAACAGGCAGTGCCACAGATGGCTGAGGCTATATTGCTCAGAGGAAATGTCTGGACAAGGAGTGAGGACCACTGCTAAGTACTGTACCTTCTCTTTCCTTTTTTACTTATTTATGTGAACTTGTTTTATGGCATCTAGTAGTCAGCCTAAAGCAATACAAAAATAAATCTCAACCAGGTGTAGTGGCGCATGCCTATAATCCCAGCTACTTAGGAGGCAGGAGCTTTTCAAGTTTGAGGTGAGCCTGGATCATTCAGTGAGACCCTGTCATTTTATTGTCATAAAATGAGATGAAATGAAATGGGATGGGGATGCAGCTCAGAGCTCAGTGGGTTCAATCCCTAGTACTGGAAAAAGCAAATAAAAACAACATACTTTATTTAGTCATTTGTTTTGCTGTGCTGAGGATTAAAACCAGGGCTTCTACCACTGAGCTACAGTCTAGGCCCTCACCCTGCATTTTTTAGCTTGGCAAAAGGCTATCATTTTTTACTTAACTTGGTTACCTGGTTAGTAACTGAGTAAACAAACCTATTTATAGTCATGTGCCTCTATTGAAACCCACTTTACCATAAAAGTGATATGCAGTTCACAGTAAGTATAGAGTTTCACGTGTTAGTCCTCTTGACATGCTATGGGCACTGCTCTTTGCAATCACCTACATACCTAGATAGGCACTATACCAAAATTACACTTGATCTTAGCCAAAAGGCCGAGAAGCAATACTATACCAAAATCAGCCCTTAGCTACCAAGGGCACAGAGCTGAGGGCAAAAAAGAGACAGTGGGGTTGATCTATTCCAAGACTACAACAATACAGATCAGTAAGGCTAACAAACAAGAATAATGTGTGACTTCTTGGTCAACTGGAGATATGGGTTATCTTACACAAATGGATAACAAAGTGATTTGGAAAGAAGGAAGCATCTAAGTGGCTTAGCTTAGCTATTTATTCTAGTAAGAGGATATCCTATTTTTAAAGTGAGTGCTCTAATGAGTTTTTTTTTAAATAAGACTCTCAGCTGTAAAAACTACAGAACAAAAAAATTCTGAACTGCATCACACAACTGTGTCTAGAACATGGGTACCCTGCAAGTTGACTACAGCATACAGGAAGATCTTATAACAGTCCCTGGTTACCGCTACTGACCCCCCTGATTTCCCCCATATGTATGTCAGCATCTAAGTGCTCAACTTCAGGTGTAAAGAAAATGCTGAAGGCTCCTAAGTTAGAGACCTAAACTAGGACGGGTAAGACTAAGATCTGCGATGGGACCATAAGAATCAGCAAATGTTACTATAAAATGCAACCTTAGTGAGCCCTGTAACAGAATTCCCCTGAACTTTCAAAAACATTTTATCCAACAGATCGTGCCATTTAGAGAGTACCATGCTGGTCTTCTCAGCCAAGCCAAAAGTACATAATATAAACTGCAAGCAGAGCAGCCATTAGCCTGGCAACCCAGAAACTGTTGCTCACAGCATCCAGTTGCTGACACACTACTACATCACCCCATCTCCCCAGGAGACGGACTGAACAGAAGCTGGAAATGAAAGGGAGGTACCAAAAATGTATGCCCACTTCCAAAGGAAACAAGGCTTTTCAATGATCTTGGTTACTAAAAAATATGTACACATTTCTCCAGAATGCCTCTCTATGGGAGCACGGTGAAAAAACTGAATACATTCTAAATTATCTCAATGCTTTTAATGATGCTCTTTTCCAAATGGGTCATACTCTGATATACTTTTGATCTTATTTCACTTTTTACCATGAACTGAGATCAGACCGTTTCACTGGATTCGGAGACAGCATGTTGGTGGTGCCCTGAAAGAGTCTCTTCGGCTGGCTTTCTGTCTCCATCTCACCTGTATCAGAAAAAGACGATACTACTATAAACTAATTTTACAAATGCAGGATTGGTGCTGAAATGGGATCTTCGTTTTAACTAAAGTTTTGAATATTTCTTGAAGCCATTACTTAAAAAACTACTTTTCTATGTGTTTTAACATAGAAAATACTCCTACATAACCTCAACCAAAAGTCAGCGGTCTTAAAACAACCTCATTTAGTATATGCACCATGTTATACACACATGCTCTTTAACAGAAGAAGCAAAATAAAGTCAATCAACAGTAAAAATATTCTCAATTAGCTAAAGTTCACAGCAAATATTTTATGCTAGATGGTTAGCAAAGATTACTTACTTTATGTACTTTACTATCTGATCATCTCCTGAGATGACATCAAATGGGTTAAAAATGTGTTGTCTGGTAAACAGTGTATAAGTAAAATTGTGTTACTTAAAATGAAGATTAAAAATATAAGTGTGAAAGCATACCTGCAATTGAAAGCAATTACTATTCAATTAACAGTTTGGTATTGAACTGGCTAATTCAGTCCTATAGATTTTCTCAGAGCTAATAATATTAATAAGAATTGGAGCTAAAAGGAATAGTAATAAACATTATTAGCTAGTGAGAGTGGTCTAACAACCATAGGTTAGACAGAGGAAGCCTCTACGTCAGTGATGCTATTATTTAAAACATGCACGCTCCTTTTTTTTTGAAACTCTAACTGCACTTGAAAATAGAATGTTAGTGGCATTTTAATTTGTGGATCTATCTATACCCCAAGAAGAAATTACAAATGACTTTAGAACTGTACAAGATTCTTATGACAGAAAAAGATTAAACAAGAACAAATATAACATTTCTTCATGTTACTGATTAATTATTTAGTAATACTGTCTTTTATCTGGAGCTATTCTAAAAATTACTGAAGGTCAGAAAAAGTTGTATTGGTATTTACTTTTCTCCCATCCTTTAATAAAAAAATGGTGAGGTTTCAACATCACCTCACTAGCAAAAAGACTTCAGCCCTTTTAAACGAAGAATTCCTCCATCTGCTGGTATATTTTGGAATAGCTATGAAACTAAACAACCATACTAATTCCATTAATTTCCTGAAAACAAATATTAAGTTAACAACAATAACAATAGCTTTATTTCCAAACATTATTTGTATTTAATTGCCCCAAGAACATCCTTAAGATTGTAAATAGCTCCTTGCAAGATTAAAGAAAAAGACTCTTTATAACATAAAACACATTCACTAAACACAAACCCCGTTACTATATTAGGATCTATTTTCTAGATCACATTGCCTTTAATTTGAAGTTGCCTAAAATATAGTACTTTTTGAGTCTGTGCATGACCCTGTCACTGGAAAGATTTCACCAAAGCCAACAAATATCCATTCTCTTAATATTAGGAGATTTAATTTGTTTATTGGCCCCGAAGATGGCCTGTAGAAAGAAACTACTTACATGATTGCTTTTTAAAAGTCACTGTAAAACTCTTTCTTAATTAACATCTGATTTTTATAATCATAGTCATATAGTCCTTACAATTATATAGTCCTCAGGAATAATTACAGTGTTAATTTTTTTTTGCCTTTTTTTATGCCATCTGGTACATTCTATAAGTATCTGAAACAGCACTGATGACTGAAACTTTAGTCCTTTTTTGGCTCAAAGTAAGGTAACTAAGAAAGCAGTCTGTTATACCAAAACTCTACAGGTATGAGTAATGTGTTTAGGTGTAATTTGGTGTAAATCTCACCTTATAGTTGAACATACAGTATGCTTACAGATATATTTGCTACAATGATATTATATATATTTCTGCAATATAACAACTACACATCTTTTCTACATTCAAATCAGCAAGAGGCAATGGTTTTGGGATATATATGGTTACTACAAATATGATCCAGATATAAGGTATAAGAAAATATAGGCATTATCAGGTAGCTAATTTACAAAACTTAGAATAGTAAAGCATATGTTGGGAATACTTCACATTTCTTTAGAAAAAGAGGAAAGCAATGATATGCGCTCATTTCAAACAGAAATCCTAGTTTTTAATTTAAGCTTCACTAGGTTTAATACCAGAAGTGTGATGCATCTTTTCTTTTTTTTTTCCTCCAGCTTTACTGAGGTAAAATCGACACAAGTGTGAAAATTTAAGGGGCATATGATTTGCTACATCTGTATTTTCAATACGTGTATTGAAAAATGATTACAATCAAGTTAGTTAACACTTTATCTCCTCACTTACCTTTTCCATGTGTGATAAAAACATTTAAAATCTATTTTAGCAGGTTTCAAGTACACAGTATTGTCCGCCAGTCATCATGCTGCTACATACCTTTTCTTTTAAGAGGACCAAGAACACTGGGTCTAATGCACTTCACTGGACTCTGACTTCTTCGGCTTTAGTGAATAAACAAACAGACTGAGGTGAAGATGCAAGATACCCAGCCCACCAGATAAATAAATAAAGTTTATCCTCATCCAAGCATAAATAGGAAGTGCTTGTGTAATTGGAATGCTGATGCATGATTTGACCCAGCACACGGCAATTTAGAATAACATGCATGTTAAGCCATTAAAAAAAAATCTTAAGATAAAATACACTAAACAGTTTAAAGGAAAAGATACCTTATTAAAAAGTTGGATATCGAGTGATCTATACCTATGATCTTAAAGATTTTTCCTTAAAAAGGGTATACTGTGGTATGTGTGCATGTATGTCTGTGTCCCCCCTCAATATAAATCAGCAATTTCAAAAAAAGAGAATCTGGTAACATGTTAATGGCAGAATATAGGCAGTGGGCATAGACAGAGTCCGCCAAAAAATGTATACACACTTCACCAGTTCACCGTACTAATAAATGCCTGCAAGCTAATGGCCACCATTTTGAGCTGAGCACTTCTTGTAACTGTAGAGGCCAAAGGTAACTTGTATTAATCTCATGATATCTCAGTTAATTTAGTATGAATGTATTTATCAAGTTTTTCTTTTCCTGATGTATACATTTTTTGGCAGACTGCAGATGTTCACTGGGAAATCCTGTCAGTTTTGCTGCATGTTTGAAAATTTCTATAATAAAATATTGAGAAAAACCTGATTTGAGTGATGAATGTAATGAGTGGCACTTCAATCACATTGCAAATTCAAGTTTACTTACGTTATAAATCGTCTTGGATTAGAAACAGGATTTGATGGCAACCCACTGCTACTCACAAACATTTGCAAAGATGGTGAAAAGCATTGCTAGAAAAAATACATTTAACATTAAAATAGTTCTTGTATTCCAGTTTTCAAAGGATTCTTTTGACACAGATTTTTATTCAAGTCACTGTATACTTTAAAAGTGAGGTGATTTGTGGACAAAAATGTTTTAGACAGTAAACTTCTCAGTATATATAAAAAGACAGTTAATACATTATCAATGATCCTACCTTTCCAAATCCTCTAGTGGGTGAAGGTGCTGGGGAAACCGGAGTGAAGTCAATTTTCTTAGGAGAATATAATTTCTCCGGCTTGTCAAAATCATTATCACTCTGTAAACATAAAGTGTCACTTAGTCATAATTATTCAGCACATGGCAGCTCTTATGTACACTATACATACATTTTATGAGCAGAATTGTGTCTATTTTAATATTCTTCTGGAAAAGTAGAGATCAAAACCAAGAATCAATTTGGAAGCAGACAGGAAGGAAACATATGAAATAGTGAACAACATAAAGATTTCTAGAAAATAAAAAATAAGTGAACACCGGAAAACTTTACCAGGTTCAAGCTTTCATCCCATGATTGGCTTATTTGCATTACTGTTTGCACTTCCCTAAATAGGCAAAAGGAAAGGGCATCAGTGTTTACAAACAAGACATATGAGTTGAAGGCCCTGGTCTTATGAAGCACTAACCTTTCATGTGCAGTTTCTCTATTCATTACATCCAGGCTTTCTTCCTATAAGGACAAACATATGTGCTAACATCATTTTTCACCACATGGTTTGCTATTCCAAATAAAATTAAAAGACTTCTCTATCTTTTTTGGCATAATCACAGGTGAGCAGAACTAACATTCTAAGAATGTCAACAATGCCACATCTGTATTTTATCTGCACACTTCCAAGAATTTTAATCTATATCCAACTAACCAGAGTTGCATTGTGACGCTTTTTAATATTTAAATCTTCAAAACCAAAAATAAAACTATAAAATCCAAAAATTTCAGATCTGAGCTAGTAAGTAAAATTTACCCTTTTGATTTGATGCAGTCTGCTACTAGGGATACGATTAGTTGAAGATGACAGCAACTGGAAAGAAAAAGTAAACATTTACTATTTTCTGAATCACAAAGCAGCAGTCTGCTATCAGTGCTGGTGTATGACCTCTTCCTAGATAATTTTTTCATATTCTTCTTAGAAATTTAGTGCTTTAAGTCCCTGAACATTAATGCACCAGAGGCAGTACATTCAGTCTTTAAGAAGTACACCAGGTGTCCAACCTCAAAGCACCATCTGTCGCTAGACAGCACTGGCTTTAGCACTTTTCCCAAATGAATGCAGAGCTGTGTAAATTTGGGGGGGAAAAGACTCTGGACGTTGGAGATATCCATTACCCCACTTATCTAAAATAAGGAACTAGAGGAGAAGGGAAAGAAAAAACACTAGTGTTATGAATTTTATTACCGATGCACCCAACAGAAGACAGGCTAACAAGCCCAATATAATATTTTGTCTGTGACTTATATTCTCCAAAATACTTAAAAACTGAAATATGGAGATTTTCTTTCTATAATCTAAACGAACTCTAAGTTTGATCACTAATACTATCACAATAAACCTTTCCAGTTAAAGAAAAATCAAATGCAAGTTGTGATGGTTGCTTTCCCTTACATCATTCTTTTCTTAACAACACAAAACTGAAATAAACTGGGGGACAGATTTCTAATCCTTCAAAAAAATCACAATCTTGACACAATACATAGGATGAATTCATAATCAACAGATCTTAAAGGGTTTTAACTGTCATAATATAAACAAGTATTGCAAAGCTCTAGCACTATAAAACCAAATAAGATACTATTTAAGAAGTCCTATGCTATTAAAACTTTATGAATACCAGCCGGGTGTGGTGGTACACGCCTGCAACCCCAGCACTCAGGAGGTGGAGGCAGGAGGATTGCTGTGAGTTCAAGACCAGCCTGGGCTACATAGTGATAGTTCCAGGTCAGTCTCAACTATATAGTGAGACCCTATCTCAAAAAAACAAAGCAAGAAAAAAAACTTTATGAATACCAATGTAGTAAGCAGTATGTGTTTATTTACTTAGTAATGGTGGTAGTGGTGTTGGGGATTGAACCCAGCCAGGGCCTTTGCACAGAGCTACATCTCCAGCCCCTTTTATGGTTTTTGCTTTGAGACGGGTTTTGGCTAAGCCCCTCAGGCTGGGCTCAAACCTGTAATCCTCTTGCGTCAGCCTCCTAGAGTACCAGGAGTACAGGTGTGTGCTCCCACACCTGGCTTGCACATTTTTTTAGGCAAAAGCTAATTCAGGTAAAGTTTTTAGAATTTGTCCATTGAAACATGATTTTATTTCAAAAAAATATCTCTTCACTACCCATCCCTTTCTTTTACACTTTTTTTCCTCCTAGGTTTTGAAAAGACAAAAGCTTCACTAGAAAACTCCTTTTAAAGTTTATTTTCCATTATGAAAGTAGTAAACATTTACTGGTGAACTATTAACAAGGCCATATGAAAAACACTATGCTACCAAACAAGCAGGAAAGGTAGGAACCTTTCTAATAGACTGACAGGGATACAGGCACACATGTCAGAGAACCAAAGAAACCCAAAAGGCAGTGAAATGAGGAAAGCCGAAGTGAGGATGGTTACAAAACTAGACTGTGGAGAAAGTCAGAAATTTAGATGTTGTGCTTATATAATATACAACTTATCAATTTTAGACTAAACTAGACAAGTGACCCAGAAAGAGGGACAGAGAACAGCAAAGCTGTGTCTAGAACCAGAAATGAGAATAATGTATCAGCTGAAAAAAAAAAAAAGCCAAGAGCTTCAAGGAAGTATCGCTAATGGTGTTAAGTAAAGCTGAGCTTCAAATAAGGAATGAACCCTCTGACATTAGCAATTAAGTGGACATGAGTGACATTTTCAGAGATAGCTTTTTAATGGTATTAAATTGGCAATAAATTAGGAGACAAGCAGTTGAATGTTGATTGTGCTTTGATAAAGCTTGTGGAAAGGAAGGAAAGGGAGGGAGAAACCTATGAAAAAGAAACAGTTTGTTTTCCTTGTATTAGATGGTTGAGTCGGGAGAAGGTGGGAGGAAAAGTGCCAGAGAGGAAGACGGGAGCTACAGGCAGAGGAGAGAATAGCGAGCAAAGCGACAGGACAGTCAGAGACGTGTGAACCATCAGGGAGTAATGCCATGTGTGAAGGCAAAGGCATTTTAAGAAAAAGAAAGCTGGTGTTTATATAAAACTAGTGTCTATCTTCTCTGCGAAGTGAGAAGGGTCATGGGCTGGAAGTGAAATGTGGTGAGACAGGAAACTGGCAGGGTCTAAAATCAAAAAACAGTGATTCAGAATATAGCTTTGGAGAACAGCACAGAACCAGTGGTACCTGAAACCCCACTTTCCCCAAAAGAATTCACCTTCTTTGCCCTCAAGAATCAGTCCTCTTGATTTCTCTAGTACTAATCAAGGCAACCCCCTTCCCCTTTCCCAAGAAACGTAATTTCAATCACTTCAGCGTCCCTGCACTAATAGCTGGTAAAGCATGAAGATCCTACTTCTGCCTGTCTCTTTCACCTTCCCCTCCTTTCCATTTTGTTTGCAAACACTTGACTCTTTGCAGGTTATTATAAAACACAGATAAGAACATCATGATTTAGAATGCAGTGCGACATCATATATAGGCAGCATCATTATTATCATAAGAGTGGAAACCGGGGCAAAGGAGATAGAAGGATTAAACTCTGGTCCTTTCAAAGGACCAGAAAGCTAGAAAGAAAGACAATAGGATGGGGGTGAAGGTAGAAATAGGATCAACCAAGAGCAGTGACTCACCAAAGCCCCTTCAGAAAATAAGGTATTTGTGGGCAGCCACTGTCAAAGGTGTTTGTTAGGGAGTGACGAGATGAACCTAGATCAGAGTTGGTAAGAATCTTCAGTTTACAAAAGAGGTAACTGAAGTGTAGAGCGGAAAATTCATTTTTTTTCTTTTTTTGCTATGCTACTCTTATCAGGGAGCACAGTTGCATAAAATGTAAAAACATCTTTCATATAGCCAGCAAAAATAAGTGGTTACATTTTCCAGTATGCCCCAGGAAGGAGGTGAAGGAAAGCAAATCTCTAAATAGCTAATATTTCCCCCTTTAAGTATTTTTAGTCACTTCGGCTGGAAATCTTTTAAAAATGTGATATATTGTTCCTTCTCAAACATTATACCAAACAGAATGGCACTGGAAGATCTCTATTCTACCACTTACTACTGTGTGATTCGGAGCAAATAATTTATGTTGTCTGAGTCTTAACTGGCCCTGTTTTTAATTGGGAAAAATACTTGTTGCCCTGACCATTTCATAGAGGTTGTTATAAAAATGAAACATGTGACAGTACTTTGTACCGTGTAAAATATCATTCAAGTGTAGATATTACTGGAATTTAAGAAAAGGTGAATCCTTAAAAAACATTATTATATGGCCCTATATTAGTGACATGCTCAGGAACTATCAATAAGTTTTTAGCTGCAAACTAATTTTTTTAAACCTTTTACAGTTTTACCCTCTCCTCCTTTGCTAGCAGCTATCAGCATACCTTTAAGCGAAGTGTACCTCATCTGAGTTGCTGTTTTTCACATACTACTTGGTTGGGAGCTTATTACAATTATGCACAAATTTGTAGATGATTCAGAAGTCAGAGAGGCACTCCTATAAATAAACTGATAAACGTCTGTGCATAGACTACGGAAATCTAGTCCAGCCATTTAGAGGTCCGTGTGCTTACACCTCAGATGTCTTCCACAGCACTGTAGCTGCTGGATGAGAGAGCTCTGCGTGTGAAGTGCCACTATATAAAAGCCTCCTAATTTTTTCTAAAGCAACCGTCTAATAATGTGATCTGCAACATTTCTCTCTAGCTATCAACAATAGTCACAATCAGCAACTCTTCTGAGAAGAGAGTGTTTAGAAAATCATCGTCGTCTGACAGATGAATTTCAGAAACAAACATTCTGCCACTGTTTAAATGATGCTTACTTACATTCTAGGACAAGTAAAAACCACTATCTGTAGGTATAGTTAGAAGTTAGAATCTTGATTTACCTCCCAAGCATAATAAAAGAAGTGACAAATAACAATGAACAATTTATTAAAATACCAAATCCTAGAGAGAGAAAATAATTTTTTCAAAGAAAAATAATTTTTTACAGTCTCCTTTTATAACAAAAGCTGAATGGCCACAGCAAAACTAATAAACAAGGCAGATAGTATCTTTTATTTTTAAAACAATCATGTATAGCATGTGATTTCCAAGTAGACTGCGTTTCCAAGTATTTTCTCTGAACCAAATCACTTTGAACACTTTGCTACTTACCAAACTGTGAGTGTTCATAATTGTTGTACTGTTCCTCCGAGTTTTAAATGCGTAAGGTTGAAAAACCTGTGAAAGGTCACTGTAAAGTAAAAATAAAATAATTAGTGTTCTAAAGACATATCGTTCAGCCGTATTAGTGTTAATTCTGTACTTAACAATGAAATCTTCGATGGCTCTCTGTTCCAACAAAGCAGCAGGCTCTGTCCTCCGCTTCGAACTGCTGCCGCTGTGGGTTTGCGGAGAATTGAGAACTGAGAACTGATCTCTACAGTTGCGGGGCGGTTCCAACAGGGGTGGGGTGGAGCCTCAGACTGGTTCAATCCAGCTGGCTCGGTCAAAGCCACGCCCCCAGCCCAGCCAGGTCCTGTCTCCCTCATAGAATCCAATTATGATGTTCTGTGCATGCCTTCCTCCACCTTTTCTAGAAGCCAAGCAGCACGTCTCTGAGGACCAGCAGGAAAAGGGCCATATCTCTGAAAGCAGCCTAACTGAATAAACTTACCTGAGGCTTTTGTCTTCCCAGCCCAGACTGTCACTTGTGCCTGGAATGCCCTCACTACTATCATCTGTCAAATTCTTTTCCTTCCACACCCACCTCAAACACCATGCCCTCCACAAAGGCATTGCACAAACCTGTACTCACTCCACAAAACTAAGGCTACCATTCCCTCCTTTAAACCCGAAGAGCACACTGGGAAATGAAACACTTGAGGCATTTTTTTTGAGAGGGTCTTAGCATATAGCCCAGGTTGCTCTTGAACCCCTGGGAGCTCAAACTCTCATCCCTATGCCCAGCTAAAAAATACTTTAATGGTGCTGGGGATCAAAACCAGACCTTTACACATGTCAAGCTCACTCTACCACTACACTACATTCACATCTCTGCTTTCTTGTTTTTATTGCTTTGTAGAACTGGTGAAGAACCCAAAATCTCTCATATGCTAAGAATGGGTTCCACTACTGAGCTTTAGTCCTAGCCCCTACTTTTCCTTTTAGTAAAGAAATAGAATTCCCCAGACTAGCATGGTGGTACATGCCTGTAATCCCAGCTCTCCAGAGGCTGAGGCAGGAGAATCACAGTGAGTTTGAGGCCAGCCTGGGCTACACAGTGAGTTCAAGGTTGGCCTGAACTATATAGTGAGACCTTGTCTCAAAAAAGCCCCCCTCCCCAAAAGAAGAAAAGTATTTCCCAGCACAGAAAAAAAGGTGTGTGTGGTGGTGGTGGGGGCAAAACAGTGTGCATGTGTCTTAAACCTCTTGGTACAGAGAGGCTTTACTCCTCTTCATATAAAATCCCCACAGTGCCTAGTAAAGGCTGTGTCCATGATTATAACAGTTCAAGAAGTTCAGTGGCTCAGTGCTTACCCAGCATGGACAAGACCTAGGGTTTCATTCCCAACACTGAAAACAAAAGTGTTGAAGGATTTTCAGAATGCAATTGGATTGGGCTCCAAGGGACCACTGAGATTGCATATTTCAGCTCCCCTAATTTTTACATGAGAAAACAGATTCAGAAAGGTTAAATGACTCATTCATAAGCACAGCTAGTTGGTGAAAATTGGGATACAGTTTAGGTCTGCTCATACGTCTTCTGTCATATCATAGTACCTGTCAAATAATTACTTAGATTGTGATTCACAAAACAGCAGTTTTTTTACAATTACCTAAATGCAGGTCAGTGGGATCATCCAAGTCCCTAGCAACGGCTTGCTTACCAGATTGTAAAAGACAGGGGAGGGGGGGAGAGGGAGAGAGGGAGGCAGGGAGAGAGATTTGGAAAGACAAAATAGTGGAGGGAGAGAGAGAGAGAGAGAGAGAGAGAGAGAGAGAGAGAACGCGCGCTAGAGAAAGCAATTTATTCTTAATGTATATTAAAAAATGCAGGGCCAAGAATAACATCAGAAAAAAAAATCACTCCATCACTCCTCAGTTCCAAAATTATATTTAATGAAAAACGTAAACCTGTTTTGTCACCAAAATACAGATGTTATAATCAGTTCAAGAGACACAAATTACCTTTTTTTAATGCCTTCACTGTGCTTCATTAATATAGTTTTGGCTAATTGCACTCCTGTCTCATTTTATGGACTAATGCCATTTTTGAAGGGTCTCACAAATTGGGTTCTCTACCTAAGATGAATTGTGTATTTATAAAAGTGAAATGTAATGGCTTAGTAGGTTAGCTGACCTAACTTTTTCACTATTGCCAAGGTTCTACTTTTAAATAGACTCTCTGGTGTCTTCTTCACAGGAAAACACAAGACTCTGCTACTGAAATTAAAGGGTCGATTCTTTCCATTGTTGTCTCAAACCTTGTTTCCACTAACCTAAGCTACAAGCCATCCTTTTTTATTCACTGAAATACAATTCTGGCAGCTTTTGAATCTAAAAATACCTGGGCAAATCCAAATCAGTTAATGTGACATGAACAAACCATTCAATTACAAGTTATTAAATAAATTGTGATGTATTAAAACAAACCTCTGCTAATGTCAAGGTTCTAAACTCAGATTAGAAATAGCAGCTCTTACTGACAAGTGTCAAGTTGCAAGCCTAGTTCCAGGGGCTTCCGTCTGACATTTCCTGGTGCAAATTAGCTAGAGCAAGCAACCTGTCAGAAGAGCCAGAAGCTTTCTGCAGTTCCCTTTAGCTTGGGACAACATGGTCCCCAGGTGTGTGGGGGGGGTGTTTCCCGATATGGACCAGAGTTTGAGGTCAAACTTTTGCTCCTCCTTAGGGCCCAAGTCACTGTCAAGCAAACAATTCTACAACCCCTCGGTTTGGAGAGCCCAAACGCACACCTAAAAGACTGCCTCCACAGGGTCCAGAAGCCTTTGGACCCTGTCTTCCATCCTCCCCACTCTTGCTCACCTGAGCCCGTGGATCAGAGGAGCGCTGTTGGACCTCCTCAGGGTGCTCCCATGAGATCTGTCAGGCTCAAAGTCAAGCTCCATTTTCTCCTGAGCCATGTCGGAGACTTGCAGGAGGGCACAGCGGGCAGTACTCAGCTCCTGGTGCTTAGCTATGGGCTTCCAAGACTCACTGCAAGACTGAGCTTCTGGGGACTGGCAGCTGGGGGCGGGGGCTAAGGGGCGGAGGCTTGGGGGCGGAGAAAA